TCTGAAGGGGTTTCTCATTAGTACCTGGAAATTTAAGAACAGGGAGAACATAAAGACCTTCAAACAATTGAAACTAAATCTGCAAATTCTGCTGTTGGCCTGCGCTGAGGATCTTTATTACCTGAACACCATGTGTGCCGTCTGTGAACGACTCCACAGGAATACATTTGATTTAATTTAGGTGATATTTTGTAGTAGTGCTATAAGAAGCTGTCATGTGAAATGTGTAAAGTGAAATTAATGAAAGGTGTTGATCTCTGCATTTAATTTATAGTAGATTTGCTTTATTTCATTACATCAGATTTCTTTTTGAGTGTTGTGAGATGATTCTGCGGTTTGTAGCGTTGAGCATTATAACCAATCACACATGATTCTGTTGAGCTTATGAATGCAATATCCAATCAGAGGTGTTTTGATTCGTCACTGCGGAGAACTCGAGTTGTTCAGTGTGGTCTCTCAGTTTTAGACTGAAGTCATGGAGCGCTGTGTTTCTCAAATGGTCCTCGTTTCCTGTTTACACTTAAGTACCTTGGGGTCAATATGACCCCAAACATTGAAAGAGTAATTGTGAAAAAGATATACATTTTTAATCATACAAATAATATATATATTTTTGTGTTTACTTCTCATCTATACATTAACGCTGTGTTTTGGGAGATATGAAGTACTTTTGTACCTATTTTCCACAAAATTCCTCAACTACACCATTAGCTTGCATGTGAAATATAATTATTTATGAAAAAATCACTTAAAGGATGACCTCAATTTAATTTAAGTTGCTTCTGGAAATTGATCTAGGCGTTAGGTGTAGAATTCTGCCATCTGCTGGTTAGAAATAAACCTAAAAGGATTACAGTTTAGGAAAGAAATAGTTTTGACCAGCAGAGGGCCATAGAGAGCCATTCATTTTACTGGATGTAGCCAACTGCTTCTATCACAACTTTTGTGATACATTTTGAGAATTTATGTATATATAAATATTAGAAAAGACATTAAAAATAAATATTCTTTCAAACTATAATTTGTGGTTTTTGATGCATTTTGAAATGTCTGTTTTCAAACAATGCCACAGAAATTGGACAGAAAAATGCCACATAACACACACCTAAAGGACAAGACTTAGAGTCAGATTATAGTTGCATATTATTGACTGTAAAAACAAAACAAAACAACAACTTTAGAATGTGGAGGAAATTAAAAATGTAAATAAAACCAACAGCTATTATGCAGAAATGAACAGGAGTGAAGTGTGAACATAAAATAACTTTTTTTTTTACAATCACATTCTGAACAATGAATATAAAAGTAATAACAAGCTACAAAAAAATTTAAATGTAAAACACATGGGAATCACTAACCAGTCCACAACAATAATCAGTCCACGCAAATCTGGCACAGGATCACTGTGTGAGCAGCACAAATGGCTCTTTTGACGTTTGCGAACTGCTTGTCAGTTTTCGAATCCTTGACCCGTGGACAAACCTGACACCTTTTTCTCTTTGATGATGGAGGTTCAGTGGAGGGCCCTGGAGCGTCGGAAGAATCCTGTTGTCTCTTTAGGATTGTTGCAGAAGCTGGTGCATTAGGCTGGTGTTGCCGTCGCTCCATGTGAGGGGACACCAGAGCTTTCCCCAGCTGCTCTAGAAAGAGCCTCCTTTTCATACTCTTCCCTCTTTCCCATGATGGATTGACTTCTCTTCACACCACAAAGGTATTTATGGCCGAAACATCAAGGATTGTACAGAAGACAACCATTGGCCAACGATTTGTCTTGCGCTTGCAGCTGTAGGTTGCAACCATCTGCAATATTTCAAACACACACACACACACACACAAATTAGTATATCTGCTGACAAAATAAATACCACTCACTCTATCACCAACTTTAAAAATTAGCAAAATAATGCATCAAATCATAAAATTTGTAAATACCTTGTCATGGTTGTCAACTCCACCTTTGCAGCGATTGTAGTCCAAGATGACCTCTGACTTCTTGTCCTCCCTGTCGCTGATTTTGGCATCCTTGTGACATGTGCTCATGAGCACATTTTTATTAGTCAGTTATTCTAATGCACATAAACATATAGATACAGTCTCAGCTATACAATGGAAAACAATAAGAAGCATACAATCAGGTAGAAAAATGAATACAGTCAGGCTAGAGGCTAAATATGCACCATAGAATAGAAGATCAAGAGAGGTTAGCACCAGAGAGGTGTCCATATCTGCCAAAAATCATTAGACTTTTGATGTATATCAAAGATGAGTTTCTCAAGTGGAAGTAACATAGATATTTGAGACAACCACGTTTTAAAAGAGGGTACTTGAGGACATGAGCACAGTAACAATATACATTTCTTTGCCAGATAAACTGGCAATGTTAGAAACAGTTGTTTGGTGTGGAAGTCAAACACAGTCTCCACTCCACTGTATACCAAATACAATTCCAGAGAAAAACAAAATTTCAACTTAAAAAGACTTCGTAAAAAATTATGTACTTTAGTCCAAAAAGAAAAGATTCTGTCACAATACCAGAAGCAGTGAAGGAATGTTCCTTTGCGTTTTTTGCAATTAAAACAAAGATCAGAGGAATTTCTGTAAATCTTTTTTAAACGTAAAAGTGTAAGGTAAACTCTGTTAATGAATTTATAATTGAGTTCGTGAATCCCCAATGAAGTACATTTAGAGAACAAATTGTTACATCCCTTACAAAAATGTCCTGTGGTATTCCATATGATAAAACATCAAATGTACCACATAAAACTAGGCTCTATACTCCAGTCCAATAGGTGGCGGAAATGCACCATTTAAGTGGGTTTGCCACCCGCCATTAAAAAGAAAAGAAGTCGTCGTCGTCCTCTGAGGAGAGTTCAGCAGCTCACGGTATTTCTCATATTTACACAACTATCAAACACACTTTATACAGTCTGTTTAAGCCACATCTTACAGACTCATGTCTGTGGTGTTTTCATCCGTTTCAGCGCTACTTGTGCGTCTTTTTGTTTGTAGCGAGAACTGTTGACTGATTCTATCATCTATTTTATCATCTATCCTGACTCAGATACTGTGTTTCTATCAGCAAACACTGAGAATAAAGAGAGATGATCTGCTGATGATGAGGAATTAAATCAGACGATTTTGTGAGCTTTTATGCGATTGTTTCTATGTTTGTAGTGAGAATTGTTGCTGAATGTCAAGTTAAACATTAATCTGTGAGGGGAATGATCTCAAGTGTTGCTGCTGCTGTTTTATTTCTACACTTTTGGCATCTTTGGCAGATTAAACCCGTTAGTTTGTTAAAATATACTGAAACAGAGACTGCTAGCGTTACATTGAGCCTATAATGAGCCGCGCGAGACATCCACACATAAATGTGAATATAGAGAAATATGAACCAAATGTGACACTGAAATCATTAAATACTGCTTTGTGCTGCTCTTTATTTGAAGATGTTTTATGGTCATTTTGTTTCTGTACAAAACTTTAATGAGTTAATTACTTCATTGCAATGAATAGTTATTAGAAAATCTAGATTAGACATGCATATTATGGTGCTTTAGGGCAGTTATGTACTTTAGCGTTAGTTTTTTGTATTATTTATGTTTTATACATATTGTGAGAACTAGATACTGAAGAACAAATAGGTTGGTGGTTATTCTTGATTCTTCATTAATGAGGCTGAAGGTAATAAAGCTTCAAACAGTATTAGTTTTGTTGTAACAGGAAAAATCTTTAGAGCTGTTGAATAATCTAGAGGAAGCATCATATAATAAGAGACACTTTCTATGATATGGGTACTTTCTTAACAAAATTAATGTATATTAGATAATTTTGTTGTTGATCAAACATATTTAATAGTTCTCCCTGTAGAAACGTGATTTGTGTCTATAATACTTACAAATAGTTAAAGTTTCAGAGAGACATAATTTATACAAAGTTAAAATTTCAGAGAGACATAATTTATACAAATGCATCAAAAAGATATATATATATATATTGCTGGTTGTGGAGGTCCTGGGCTGGTGTGGTTACACCTTTGGAGATGGCTTATGGTAGAGAAATGAACATTCATTTCACGGGCAACAGCTCTGGTGGACATTCCTGCAGTCAGCATGCTGTGGAAAGAGTTTAACACGCAAACCTCATCTTGATGTTCACATGAGAATTCACACTGGAGAGAAACCGTTCACTTGTGATCAGTGCGGGAAGAGTTTTTCACAATCATCAAACCTTAAGAGACACATGAGGATCCACACTGGAGAGAAACTGTACACATGTGATCAGTGCAGGAAAACATTTTTGAGGGCTTCAGTCCTGAAGACACACCTGATAGTTCATACAAAGGAGAAACCACATTCATGTCATTTGTGTGGAAAGAGCTTTTCACATCTACAAAGTTTGAAAGAACATAAAAAAATACATACTGGTGTGAGAGAGTACCTGTGCTTTGAGTGTGAAAAGACTTTTACTTCAGCGAGCAGTTTAAAACTGCATGAGAGGATCCACACTGGAGAGAAACCTTACAAGTGTTCACACTGTGACAAGAGATTCAGTCAGTCATCACATCTGAAAACACACGAGAGGATCCACACTGGAGTGAAACCGTATCACTGCACTGCATGTGGGAAGTGTTTCAATCAATCATCTGCTTTACACAAGCATACAAATAATATTCACAGTAAGTAGATCATCTTCAGATCCAGCACTTTCAGATCTGATGCTGTGTCCTCAACAAATCCTTATCAAACGGAATTTATTCCAAGTGCGCTCTTTTATCTGGGTCATGAAGGATGCTCCATTCACGAATTAATCTCTTTTTGAGTCGATTTCTGTTCAAGGTCTTGAACAAAGAAGCCTGCAAAACGGTGTGCATTTGTTCATGAATCACTTTGAATAATTTGTTCAGTTCCCTGCACGCACTGAATCGTCTGAAGCAGTTTCTCATTCGTACCTGGAAATTTAAGAACAGGGAGAACATTAAGACCTTCAGACAATTGAAACTAAATCTGCAAATTCTGCAGTTGGCCTGCGCTGAGGATCTTTATTAGCTGAAAGTGTTTCAATCAATCATCTGCTTTACACAAGCATACAAATAATATTCACAGTAAGTAGATCATCTTCAGATCCAGCACTTTCAGATCTGATGCTGTGTCCTCAACAAATCCTTATCAAACGTAATTTATTCCAAGTGCGCTCTTTTATCTGGGTCATGAAGGATGCTCCATTCACGAATTAATCTCTCTTTTTGAGTCGATTTCTGTTCAAGGTCTTGAACAAAGAAGCCTGCAAAACGGTGTGCATTTGTTCATGAATCACTTTGAATAATTTGTTCAGTTCCCTGCACGCACTGAATCGTCTGAAGCAGTTTCTCATTCGTACCTGGAAATTTAAGAACAGGGAGAACATTAAGACCTTCAGACAATTGAAACTAAATCTGCAAATTCTGCAGTTGGCCTGCGCTGAGGATCTTTATTAGCTGAACACTGTGTGTG